GCCGCGGGCGGGGCGTGGCCACCCGCGGAGGGGCGTGTCCGCCGGGAAAGGGGCGTGGCCAGCGCGAGGCCCCGGTGCGGCGGCGGCGCCGCTCGTGAGGGCGGCCGGGCTCGGCCCCGCTCGGCCCCGCTCGGCCCCGCTCGGCCCCGCTCGTCCCCACTCCCTCCCCGCTCCCAGCGGCAGCGTGCGCTCCCCTCAGGCCGCGCGTCCCCTCAGGAGCGGCGCCAGGCCGCGCCGCCGCCGCCCCGGGAGCCGGCGATGGCCTCGCGGAGGATGCCCCGGCCGGCGCCGGAGGCCGCGGCGCGGGACAGAGTTCCGCGGTACCGGCTGGAGCGGAGCGCGGCCGCGGCGGGCGCCGCGCATCCCTTCCGAGGTACGGGCGGCGGCGCCTCCACCCAGCGCCGCGCGCCGCCGCGCCTTCCCCACATCCATGTTTGTGCCCGTAATGGGAACGGGGGATAAAAACGGGAATTCAGACAAAGGGATTCGCCGCCTCACCGAGCGGGTCCGGCTCCGTGCGCCACGATGGAATTCCGGTGATGGCTGATGGGTTACATCAATGTAGGAAACCATCGGGGCTTTGTGTTTGGTGGTGGTTTTGGGGGATAAATCTCAAAGCAGGGCATTAACCTCGTGAACAGAACACAAAATGCCATCCCCAAATTAATTAGCTCCTAAATTTGGAGTTTAAAATGTCCAGCCAGACGCTTGGATTGCATTGGCAGGGGTGGACGTTCATAGGAGAGCTTTAAAATGAAGTCTGTTATTTTTAGACTTGTAAGAGCCCTGAAGAAATCATTTATATTAAACACTTCTATTTTTTGCCGAGTATTTATTTTCTGAATTGAACTTCTGGGATTGGGGAACGAAGGTTTTGGGTAATGAGAATTTCCTGCAATAGCGAGAGAATTGCGGTTGAGTTTGTAGAAGATCCGAATTTCTGTCCAGCTGTAGAATTCCTCCTGGGAATTCTGCTCTGGGTGACAAGGTGGGGATTGGCCAAAGCTTGGAATTGCTGGTCTTGGAGGTCTTTGACAGTTTCTAAATTCTGGGAAAGCTGAAAGTTCAGAGTTTCGATGGATTTTATGCCTCAGGTAGAAGACCAAGACTTGAGACAGCGATGAGCAAAGAAAGATTTGATTTGGAGGAGAACTGGAGCTCCTGAATTTAGGGATTGGAACGTGGGAATGGGAATGTGGTGATATGGATATCCTTCAGAAATCTCCCCAGTTTTGACCTCTTTCCAACCTCTAAAATTTCTTTGCCCAGCTCACTCCCGGCCGCTGCCCCGGCCCCGCTACAACGAGAGCTTCCACCACGACGGGCGCTTCCCTCACGCCAACTGCCAGCACGAGGACTGGAGCGAGGATCCCGGGGAGGATTATCCCGGGGAAAACTACCCCGGGGAGGATTATCCTGGAGAGAATTACCCCGGAGAGAATTACCCCGGAGAGAATTACCCTGGGGAAAACTACCCCGGGGAAAACTACCCCGGCCCTTCCTACAGAGCCGCCAGCCCCCCGCTCCGCAAGGAGAATTATTTCCAGGGACAGTTCTCCCGGCCCGCGCCCCGGGAGCGGGAATTCGCCCGGGATTACGGGAAATTCGGCCGTGCAGCTGCCCCCGGCCGGGAGTACGGGCAGCGGGACAGGGAGTACCCGCAGGGCTACGGCCCCGCGGGTTCCTGGCAGGCCGGAGCAGAATTTGGCTCCCCGGATGTTTTGGGGGATTTCGGGCCGATGGAGGAGGAGTACGGCGGCGCGGAGGACCCGGAGTACGAGGAGGATTTCGGGGCGCCGCCGCGCAGGGGAGGCGCGGGCAGGGGGAGAGCCCTGCGGGGAAAGCGCCTGGCCGGGGGGGTGGTGAAACCCAGGGCGTTCAGAGGAGACCCCAAAAGCCCCCTGAAGAAGTGGGGCTTGAAGAAAGGCCAGCCCGGCCCGGATGCCGACGCTCCGGAGCTGCCTCCGGACGTCGCCGAGCCCCTCCAGCAGCGCCCCAGCCCCGAGCTGCCCCCGCGGCCCGGCGCGGCCCCGGGAGCCGTCCTGAGGCTGCCGAAACCCGCCCACGTCTTCAGGAGCCTCAGCTTCGACCCGGTGGATAAATCCGACATCTTCTCCACCTTCGGCGTGGAGATCATCAAGTGGGCCGGGTTCCACGCCGTCAAAAACGACGCCGAGTTCTCGCGCCTCTTCGGGGCCCTCTTCGAGCTGGAGACCGAGACCTGTGCCAAGATGTTGGCCTCCTTCAAGTGCTCCCTGCGGCCGGAGCACCGGGACTACTGCTTCTTCACCATCAAGAGCCTGCAGCACGCCGCCCTGAAAACCCCCAAGGTGGACAACGAGTTCTTGAACATGCTGCTGGACAAGGGGGCCGTGAAAACCAAGAACTGCTTCTTCGAGATCATCAAGCCCTTCGACAAGTACGTCATGCGCCTGCAGGACCGCCTCCTCAAGGGGGTGACCCCGCTGCTGATGGCCTGCAACGCCTACGAGCTGAGCGTGAAGAGCAGCGCCTTCGGCCACCCCGGCCACGTGGCCGGCGCCCTGGAGACCACCGTGTCCCTGTGCCGCAAGTCCCTGGCCCTGCTGGGCCAGACCTTCGCCCTGGCCTCCGTTTTCCGGCAGGAGAAGATCCTGGAGGCCGTGGGGCTGCAGGAGATGGCCCCGGCGCCCACGGCCTTCCCCAATTTCGACGACTCCACGCTCTTCGGCAGGGAGTACATGGAGAACCTGAAGGCGTGGCTGGAGAGGAGCGGCTACCCCATCCAGATGAGGAGAGGCCCGGCAGGAGCCGCCGAGCAGCTCCCGGCGGCCGCCCCCGGCGCCAACGGTACCGGGCGCGGGGAGCCCCGCAGGGGCGGCTCCGTGGTCGGGCTTGGGCAGGAATTCCTGGCTCCAGGAACGCCGGGGGAGCTCAGGGCTGGGGCAGGGAGAGAATTCCCGGTGAGGCCCAGGCAGGGAGGGAATTCCCAGTGAATCCCAGTCAGGGCTGGGGCAGGGAGGGAATTCCCGGTGAGGCCCAGGCAGGGAGGGAATTCCAGCTGAATCCCAGGCAGGGAGGGAATTCCAGGTGAATCCCACTCAGGGAGGGAATTCCCAGTGAGGCCCAGGCAGAACAGGAGCAGGGGTGGAATTCCAGCTGAATCCGAGTCAAGGAGGGAATTCCAGGTGAATCCCACTCAGGGAGGGAATTCCCGGTGAATCCCAGGCAGAACAGGAGCAGGGAGGGAATTCCAGCTGAATCCTAGTCAGGGAGGGAATTCCAGCTGAATCCCAGTTGGAACAGGAGCAGGGAGGGAATTCCAGCTGAATCCGAGTCAAGGAGGGAATTCCAGGTGAATCCCACTCAGGGAGGGAATTCCCGGTGAATCCCAGTTGGAACAGGAGCAGGGAGGGAATTCCAGGTGAATCCCAGTCAGGGAGGGAATTCCCAGTGAATCCCGCTCAGGGCTGGGGCAGGGAGGGAATTCCCGGTGAGGCCCAGGCAGGGCTGGGGCAGGGAGGGAATTCCAGCTGAATCCCACCCAGGGAGGGAATTCCCAGTGAATCCCAGTCAGAACAGGAGCAGGGAGGGAATTCCAGCTGAATCCTAGTCAGGGAGGGAATTCCAGCTGAATCCCAGTCAGAACAGGAGCAGGGAGGGAATTCCAGCTGAATCCTAGTCAGGGAGGGAATTCCAGGTGAATCCCACTCAGGGAGGGAATTCCCGGTGAATCCCAGTTGGAACAGGAGCAGGGAGGGAATTCCAGCTGAATCCTAGTCAGGGAGGGAATTCCAGGTGAATCCCAGTCAGGGCTGGGGCAGGGGTGGAATTCCAGCTGAATCCCAGGCAGGGAGGGAATTCCAGCTGAATCCCAGTCAGAACAGGAGCAGGGAGGGAATTCCAGCTGAATCCCAGTCGGAACAGAAGTAGGGGTGGAATTCCAGGTGAATCCAAGTCAGAACAGGAGCAGGGAGGGAATTCCCAGTGAATCCCAGTCAGGGCTGGGGCAGGGGTGGAATTCCAGGTGAATCCCACTCAGGGAGGGAATTCCAGGTGAATCCCAATCAGGGAGGGAATTCCAGGTGAATTCCAGTCAGGGCTGGAATTCCAGGTGAATCCCAGTCAGAACAGGAGCAGGGAGGGAATTCCAGCTGAATCCTACTCAGGGAGGGAATTCCAGGTGAATCCCAGGAAGGGAGGGAATTCCAGGTGAATTCCAGTCAGGGCTGGAATTCCAGGTGAATCCTACTCAGGGAGGGAATTCCAGGTGAATCCCAGCAGGGAGTCTGTGGAAGTTTCTGGGGTGAAATCGTGTCCTTCCTTCTCTTTCTGGCACCTGCTTCGACCTTAAATCCAAGATTTTTCACCCCAGTTTCACCACCTCAAGGCAGGGAAACCAGGACCAGCCTGGAACTGGCTTAATCACAGAGTAAATATTTGCATATATGCAAATATGGAGATGTCAGCATCAGCACTGAAGTCAGATCCAGGTGCATTCCTTTGGAGGTGTTCCCTGAGCTGGGCCAGTGATTCCTCCTGCCTGAAACATTCCTGCTCATCCTAGTTTTTCCTAATTCATCCTGATTTTTTCCCAAAAAAACCTGTTTTTTCCTTGAGCCTCAGATCCTTTCTCGGGGAGGTTTTGCAAATGGTTGAAAATTTGTCACTCAGCCCTTCAGAGCAGCATTCAAATAAACGGATTTTCCACAAAAAGTCCTTTTGCCGCATTAAGAAATTGCCTTTTTAAGGATGATTCCACTTGCCCAGGCTGGTTGTGGATGTGGTTTTTTAGCCCAGGGTGTTTTTAAGAACAAACAAGTGCAGAATTGCAGTTCAAACGTGGAGTTTTCCCTGATTTTAGATGGAAAGCGTTGGGCAGAGCTTTCCCAGCAGGTCCAGTTCTGGCTCCAGAGGCTCCAGGAATCATTTGGGGTCTGGAGCTTGTGGGGCTGGGCCTGCAGAAGGAAAAGCTGAGAGAGGACCCCAAAATCCCCACAAATATCCCCAAAAAGTGTCCTGGGGTGGTGTCAGGACAAGGGAAACTGAGGCCTCCTCTGGGGACACCCCAACCCCAGCAGACATTTGTGTGTCACCTACTGCAGCCTGGATGATTTGGGATCTCCAAAATATCCTTCCCCACCCCACCCTTCTGCTTTCTTTGTCAAATGTCAAATTTTTCTCTTTTTTATTTTTTAATTGCGAGCATGAATTGTGTGAAAATACCAAAAAAAACCCCAACAAAAACAAACAAACAAAAAAAAAACCCATCTTGCTGCTGCATGAGAATAAAACAAAGAGTGGGGGTTTTTTTCTAATGGGATTTATTTGATTTTAACGCGGTTTTTGGGTTTTTTTAATGGGATTTCTTTCTCCCCACAGCCCCCCAGCGAGCTGACAGGAAAGTTGTGGACACCATTGAGCAGCTGGTGAGCAGCATCGTGGCAGGAACTCTGTCTGCCAAGGACAGGAGTGCTCAGAAGAACTCCCCTGAATATTGGTGGGTGTGGGGGAAATTCGGATTTGATAGAATTAAAACTTCAGCCCTTCACTCGGTGGGAATGATCAAAGCCTGTTGTATATTTAATCGGGTTTTTTTGGGTTTTTTTTTTGGTTTTTTTTTTTTTTAGGGGGGAATGTTTGCCTGGAGTTCATTATCCCTGGAAATGATCCTGGTGTTTGTGGTGTTGCTTTTGATGTGCCAATAATGGCTCTCGGTCGACCCAAATTCGAGGTGTTCAAAGCAATTTGGATTTTAGGAGCAAAGTCGGGTGATGGAGGCATCCAGCAAGGTAACAGGGTTTAGAATTCCAGGGAAAATGCTGGAAAAGGGGGAGCTGAGGCACCTCCAGGTGTGTCAGCTGATTCATTCCTGTCCAACCCCTCCAGCATTTATTCCCTCGATCCCAGAAAAACCTGCTCAGCCTCGTGCTAAACACCTGGAAAAAACAAACCAACGGGAATGCTGAGGGGGTTTGTGCTTAAAAAATGGAGATTTTTCTGCAGATCTCTTCTTTTTCTGTGTTTCTCAGGTTCCTGGGTGATGAGGACTACAAATCTCACAGGTTGAGGCTGTAAAAAATGGAGATTTTCAGCAGATTTCTCATTTTTTTTCTGTTTCCCAGGTTCCTGTGTGATGAGGATTAGATATCTCACAGGCTGGGGCTGTAGAAATGGAGATTTTGAGCAGATTTCTCATTTTTTTTCTGTTTCCCAGGTTCCTGTGTGACGAGGACAGCCTGGAGTACAAATCTCACTAGGCTGGGGCTGTAGAAATGGAGATTTTCAGCAGATTTCTCATTTTTTTTCTGTTTCCCAGGTTCCTGTGTGACGAGGAGAGCCTGGAGTACAAGTACTACAGGCTGGGGCTGTAAAAATGGAGATTTTCAGCAGATTTCTTGTTTTTCTGTGTTTCCCAGGTTCCTGTGTGATGAGGATTAGATATCTCACAGGCTGGGGCTGTAGAAATGGGGATTTTCAGCAGATTTCTCCCTTTTCTGTGTTTCCCAGGTTCCTGTCCAAGGAGGAGAGTGTGGAGTACAAATCTCACTAGGCTGGGGCTGTAGAAATTGAGATTTCCAGCAGATTTCTCATTTGTTTTCTGTTTGCCAGGTTCCTGTGTGACGAGGAGAGCCTGGAGTACAAGTACTACAGGCTGGGGCTGTAGAAATTGAGATTTTGAGCAGATTTCTCATTTCTTTTCTGTTTGCCAGGCTCCTGTGTGACGAGGATTAGATATCTCACAGGCTGGGGCTGTA